TGTCACTCACAATTATCTAGCTGGAAATTGAAAGAGAATCAAACTAGATAAATCAGAAACAGTTAAAGAAGAAGATACAGTTACAGCTGAATCAAGTAATCCAGTAATATCAAATATTTTGTCACTGGAAATTTAAGTTAAACAACCTATATCCACTATATGAATTATCGCATCAACAAAAATCAAAAAAGAAAGAAAAACAAAGCTATATTACTTATTTTCACTGCCAAATCTGTTCTATATGATATTCTAGATAACCTGATAACCAGTAAGAACAATATTATAATTGGACAACTAATTCAAATCTCTTCAAAACAACATCTTAAAATATTTAAAACCATGTGATAATCTTTCAGACTTAATTGAAAGATCACCAGAAAAGTCACTGAAATAATTGAACAAAAAATTAGAACTATCTTTGCTTGATATAAAGCTAAGATTGAAACTGTATCCATCAATTTAATTATTTATACTGATATCTTCAGTTGTCATATATTTACTAAGATTTAGTTGAATATTGGATGAATTTTGGTGAAATTTGACCTGATATATCATGTTTCAAATTAAGTATTCCAATTTAAAATAAGTTTTTTTTCAAAAAATCAAAATTAATTTAACAATATAATATCTTATGAATTACCAAACCATTTTTGTAAAAATTACTACCATTGAATTTACCAAATCTAGGTAAATTTAATGATAGTATGTTTGAAAATAATGCATTTATTTTAATTTTGAACAAAAAATCAATCCAGTAACTTTGGATGTGATATCTCACAATCTACTAATCCAATCTGAACCAAAATATTATCATTCAATTCGTCAAGACTAGATGAATTAAATGATGATATTTTGATCCAGATTGAATTGGTGAATTGTGAGATATCACATCTCAAAGTTATCAGATTTTTAATCAGATTTTTATTAAATTTTAATCTGAAAATTTGTTAACAAAACTGATGATTTTTCAGAACTAAAAAACTGGATCTTTTTCTGATTATTTTCTTTTATTTTTTTTACAGAATCTAAGTTCAAGTTCAGTTCAAAAATTTGAACTGAACTCAAATCAGACTTTGACTTGAGTTCAAGAAAAATTTAAAATTCAACTGAACTTGAACTGAACTATTATATGAGTTTGAATCTGGTTTGAGTTTGATTAAAGATCAGTATATAATATCATATATCGATTTGTAGCTCTAAATATAAGCTATAATTTTATTTATAAGCACAATTTATGGTATTTAATGAGAATTAAAAGTTTATATAGTAATAACTAATGTATTTTTATTTTTACATTTATTAAATTTAATTGTAAATACTATGTAACTCTTTGAATAATTATTATTAATGATAATTATTTTATACCAATTTGTAACTCTTATTTTTGAATATAAAATTATTTATAACTATAGTTTATGATTATTATAGCAAAATAAATATTTATTATACTAAAACTAAAACAAATTAAAATTATAATAATTAAAATTTATTTTTTAAATTCATATAACTTTTTAAATATTCATTCTAAATATTAATTATTTTATATCAATTTGTAATTCATATTAAGATCTACAACTTTACTTAGAATATTAACAAATATTTACTTGAACTCAAACTGAATTTTTGATTAAATTCAAGTCTGATTTGAAGTTCAAACTGAACTTGAACCAGATTTTTAATTAGGTTCAAATTTTTGAACTGAACTTTTGATTAAATTTGAGTCTGATTCAAGCTTGAACCAAACCAGACTTTTTTTCAGAACTCTAATAACAATATATTATTCTATTATATCTTATATTTATAAAGTAAAATACTTAAGAATTTGAAACTTATTATGATATAAATTTTTAGTTAAATTTTATTAATTAATTCATTTTGTATAAAATACTTAAGAATTTGAAACTTATTATAATATAAATTTTTAGTTAAATTTTATTAATCAATTCATTTTGTATTTTATTAATAATTTAACTTTATAATTTATCTATTGTTATAATTTGATATTTGATATAAATAATTATTATATATAATTATTATAAATAATTACTTCAAATAATTATTTAAATAATTATTTTTTCAAATAATTATTCCAAATGATTATTCCAAATAATTGCTTTTTATTTATTAATTACTTATAAATATTATATATATTTTAATTTAAAAAAACAAGTTAATAATTAATAAGAAAAAATTTATTATTTGTTTTATTTCCTTTTAATTTTACTTTATTAGCTAAATAGTTAGCATTCTTATATAATCTCTTATTTTAATTACAAAGTTATTATATTTTGTCTTATAATTTTTAATTATGAAATTATAATTCTTATAATTAATCTTTTATTTAACTATGAAGTCATGATTATATTGAATTAACAAATAAACAATTAATATTATACTTGTTTATAATCAAATTTAAAAAAGCACAATTATCTTTGAATATTTCTGGTCTTATTCTAGTTGATTAACAAATAAACATATATTATTTATTTTTAGATATTATTCTCTTTCACACTTGAAATTTTTTTATAAAATAACTCTCTTATTTGACCAAATTTTATATATTATTCACATATTTACCCATAACAAAACTAAAAACCATATAAAATAGTAAAAATATTATTTTATAATATTAATTTGAAAAAGTTTAATATTAAATTTAGTTTTACTTTAATTTATAATTATTATTAGTATAGTATTGATAAAATAAATTAAAATATTATATGTAAAATTATATAAACTTGTATTCATTTTTATAAAATATTTTGATCAAAATTGAAATAGTTTTGATTTTTGTTTGCAGCATGAGCTTCTTAAATATTTACTACAATACATTATTTTCAAGAATTAAATCAAGAGTTAAGGGGTTAAAAGTTAGGAAGGATTCATAAATTTCTGAGCTGTTGATCTATTTCTTGTTTAATAGGCTACTCGAAGCCACTTGCGTTAAATAAGATACAAGTGTGTTGTAATAAAAGCGGAAATTTCGTTTCTCGCCATTTTATAAAAAACAAATGGCGTTGTTCTAAGTCAAATCCGCTGTCATATCGACTTTGACTATGGCTGTGTTCCATTGTTCGTTTTAATAAAAAGCGTACGTCTCAAAAGTCTTTAACAAAGTCTAATCAATAAAATCGATCATCAAAACATTTTGTTAACAATGATGGTAAGAAAGTCACGAGCAAGTAATTGCTACGTGTGAGATTATTATTCGACAGCCAATGCGAAAATCATTATTTTTATTTACGTGACAAAAAAAACAGGTTTTAGCTTTATAACACACTGTTGGCGATCCAAATCATTCGATACATATGTAGTATATAGTAAAAACACACGCAAAGATAAAAAAGAGACTCATCATCAAACAAAATGGGGCGGGCGGACGTAAATTGGGGTTACTTATTGTTCGAATTTTTACAATGACAATGATAATTTGTTAGGTAACGATGATTTCGAAAGCGGAACGCTATTTATCTATTTAATATAGAAAAAATCGACTAATACAGTGGGCACCATTGCCATTATCATCCTCATTTGTTGTCATTATGCAGGAGTATTTTATGCATCTTTTAAAAAAATTTACTACGGTACATGTAAACGATTTTCTTTTCAAATGTTTAACGATATCTTTCCAAATGATTGAATCCGAATCAACGAATTAACTGATTTTTCGACGTGTATCGTATCAGTGATTTGTTTGCTATTATTGATCAATTTGGGATCGTTTCATTTGACACGTACGAATCATTATTTCGAACGGTCGATTAATTAATTAATATTGTCGGTAGTCAATAATAAATAATAAAGGTTACGTATATAGGAAGAAAAGCGTGCCTAATCATCTAACCTTACCAAATGTATGATCGTTGTATTTATGTGTCTATTCCAATCGTAACAGCACAATCATCAAAAAAAAGAAAAAGAGATAGAGAACAATCACCTCATATTGTTCTGTCGTCTAACTATGTAACTCGCTTTATGTTAGAGTACATTTTGGTATATTATGTAAAGTGTCTAGCATATAGGTTTGTTTGTTGTTGTGATTGTGCGTGGATACGAATGACGTCTGTCTGTCGTGAGAAGGAAAGAAACAGTGGTAGTCTTGAGCATTTTCAACCCATTATTCATATAATACAAAGTGCAAAATAGTAATAGCAATGGTACACGATGAATATGGTAAAAACTACACCGATACAGTATCGGTATGTGCAGTACAGTTTAGTTTATTCAATTGTGATGTTTCACGATGTTATTTTTTCCCGTGTCTCAATTATACGTGTATTTATATTTTGCTATACACTATACAATAAGGTATAGCAAATAGTAATGATCCATTTTTTCGCAACAAATCCACATATGTAACCCACATCAAGAACAAAGAGATTCGGAACGAGTATTTATTTATTCACCTTAAATTTCTCCCAAACTCGTAAGAAACAAAAAAATTCTCTCATCATTTCCAGTTCGCCAATATCATCATCAATCAGGCTTTCTCTTCAATTAGTCAGTCAGTCAATCATATCATTATCGTTATTCATCAAGCATCATTCATCACCACTTTTCGTGGAAAAACTCTATCATCGATAACATCTTAACAACGATAAAAAAAACAAATATTTATATTCAACACAAAAACACATTTGTAACCGAACTTATTATACCACCACCAAAAGCCTGCCTGTCTACCTACTACAAACCATTAGTCAAGAGGTAAATAATATAACAATAACTAAATAATAGGTTAAAAAAGCTAAATATCTTCTTGTAACATTAATTAAACCTATCTGTTGTCTGTGCGCGCGTTATTATTAATAGTAAGCAACAATTAACAATTGCTAGTAAATATTATCGTTGTAAAAAAAAAAACATTTTTATAGTCTCTGAGAGCGCTCCAAGCTTTTTTTTTAAACTCTATTAACGATATTTATTCTCCCATTTTCTCGCTTAGAGAATTCAACGAAAAATATTTCCTCAATAATACCACACCAGCACAATAAACAAAAATGAACTGCTCCGAAACACCAACACCCTACGAAATCTACAACTTCTTCATAAACCTCCGCGACTCACTCCCGGACGATAGTGACTACACAGACCTACTCGCCACCCTCTTTATCCCCAAAGAAGTAATGCCCACTTCAGAGTTGCTACAAAACGTGCTCCCGCACTTCCGTCGCGCCTCAAACCCTGGGCTATTCACCACCTTCCAAGTAATCATGCGCAACGCGGAAAGTAACCCCACGTTCGAGAGCACGTTTATGCGTGTGTGCGAGTCGTTGGAAGTGTTGGAGAAAGTCGAAGCGGCGTTACTGTATAATAAAAAGTTGTTTGAAGCCTATTTGCAAGCGTTGCAACTGGATAATGTCTCGGCCAGTCATGAACAGGTTATGAACAGTTTGCAAAGGTTTTTGAATGAGAGGTGTACCCCGAGTACTAGGTTGCGTGTGCAGAAAGTTTTCGCGGAAGAGAGTGCCGCTGACGAGCTCGGTAATTATTTTTTGTTGTATAACTGAACGCAATTGATCGTTGTATCACACACATGTGTTGAAGTAAAACTCTAATTGCATTCTTGTCTTACTTTTCGATCGATTGGCCGAATCTTTTTTATGCTACTGCGCCATTTTTTACTAACAGGATTAAGCAACGAAGTTCTCGAAACAGCCGCATCAATACTCAATGACGACGCACTTTACATTCGAATCCTCGAGACACTCCAGTTAAACTACCGCGAAAACCTCGCGTGGAACGGCGTCGTCGATCGCATAAAAAAGATTGTGTTGGAGAAGAAACCGGCCGTGTGGGTCGTTTTTGAGAATTTCTTGGATGATTTTCATCCGAGTGGACGGCAAGGTAAGATTTTTTTTTATTTCAATTGGTATTTGATAAGTTTTATGCGGATACTTACCATGTTTTCTAATTCGATGAATAATAGATCATACCGTTTATTACCCACTACCCGAAGCATACCAACAGCAACAAAACTACCACACTAAAGACCTCGCCACTAACAACAACAATGACTACGCTGTTTTCTGCGAACAGTTTTTAGACGGCGAGCCCGAAAATTATTATGATGATGATGAAGATGAATTCGTGTATACTACTATCGAACAACAAATAAATCCCACCACTACCAATAATGCAATCAATCTCTTGGAACAAAAACTCGCCGGTATTTCTCTCGGCGACAGTTCTGTCATGACTAATGGTACGGGTGGAGACAGTAAAGATAAACGAGAAGTAAATGGCGGTGCCACTATCGTCGAGATGCCACAGCAGCAGCCGCGTGAGGTTTTGGGATCTGTGTATTAAGTCTATCTATTGGCTATTTACGAGCTTTTCTTCTATATTCTCTCATCCCGCACAACTTACAAAAAACCACGCAACACTTATTTCTTGCTCTTGCTTTATTGCATAACACACGCACACAAACGCATACACACACACAAAACATATATTTATAGTTTCTGGGTTCTCGATTTTTTTTTGGTTTTTTTTCAGTGGATGAATTTTGGCTCTTATAAATAATTTTGATTTCTCCAACCAATCACCCAAAAAAATGTAAAAAATGTAAAATCCTATAGAAAAAACATCTTATACATATATATATACACACATACAACGATAGAAACCTCTCCCTTTTTTTCTTTTCACCTTTTCTTATTTTTTATTACCCATACATATATAAAAAACCCAAAATTGTACAGTACATAATTACTTTTACAAATACAAAAATATACATACAATGTTTTATATATATAAACGCATAAAAAAATGGATTCAGTTTTTATTCTTTTATACGCTGGTAGTATTTTTTCTTTTCTAGTCTCGCGTTTCCTCTTACTTTCTTGATATATAAATCTTTAATATTGTTCGTTTCTAATTGTATACATATTAAATTCACCAAAACGCGAAATATTATTATAAATAGCAACCCATTTTCATCACTGTCATCGACAAATAACAAAAAAATTGTAAATAAAAAATAAAATTTTTCACGGATGAGAGGCAAACAAAAAATGAATGATTTTTGTGATGAATAGATACTTTGAATTACTACTATAAACTGTTCAAACACTCTCTAACCCAATCTTTTGCCTCGTCACACACACCAAACAACAGAGCTCTAGCAGTAATCCCGGCAAAAACCTCTTTTTCATGATTTCCATTACCGCTAATACTGTGATTACTCATCACCACCATCTCGAACAACTTTCTTATGATACGTTGATACACCGTCGACACGTCAGTATCGAGCATATACAATGATTCTAAACTATCCGTTATCTGTGGCGACGAGTAAGACGATAAAGACTTGTACGAACTAAAAGATGCGGACGACGATGCAAAAGAGGTATTTGATAGTGATGATAACGTCCTCTTCGTCTGTATTATGAATTCTTGTCTCGTATTATCAATCATAAAATTATTCGAATTGTTATTAACAAAAACTAGATCTTTTTCGCATCGTTTAAGAAATGCAAATATGAATGATGCATGATACGGTAAAAAAATTTTTCCTGCTGCTTTAGATGACGAGACAAGTGTCAGATAATGAAATATCGAAACGAGTGTATCGAGTAGATTGAGTGACCAGTAAATTGAGGATGAGAATTCCGTGGTGGTAATAGTTGGTACACTTTCTGTTATGATTCATTATTTTTATTGTTAGTAAATTATTGAATTTTAAAAAATAATAATAATTAATCAAAATGCATACCCAATAATTGTATCAACCCGGTAGCAACACATACAGCCTGATCTACTATCCAAAAGGTAAAATCATCACGATTATGAAGATGTAACCTCAATTTCTTTTGTAGTTGTTGTAATCGTGACCCTTGAAGTACTCGTAGCAATAATCTCGGTGCAACCAACGAGAAATCATTTTCTGGTCCAAGCAGTGTAGTAGTAGAGGAATCACCACCACCAAAACAACAAAGATAATGCAACCAACTTAAAAGACCATTTTTTGTGATCATTTCGGTAATTACTTGTGGGATTGAGGCAGCGTTGAAAAGAATCTAGAATTTTCGGTAGGGAAAAAGTTTTTGATCGAGTTATTTCATTGAACATAATCGTAATATTATGGAACTATATCGAACCTCGATTACTAGTTTCCGCGTTACATTATCAGCTAGTTGTGAATTATAGTATGCGCTGATAATATCCCATACGTGTCGTCGTTTGAATAGCTTGTAGTCCTATAAAACGTAAAATACATTTTAAGCAACGGAATATATGAATAATTCAATTTTAATATTGCAATAATACCTCGACGGATCTTAATCCAGCCGACAACAAACGAAGTATCCACACTCGCTCTTTTTGATAATTCTCTGTTGACGAGTAGAAAAGGCTGTAAAATAAGGGAATATCCTAATTATTTGAATAAACTTGATTTATTAGCATAATATACAAACCCAAAAAAATTGAAATCTATATCTTTTGCCGTGTATTACTATACGAATTGGTATGCGGACGTAATTTTAATCATATATACAGAAATACCTCGAGATCCAAAATAGGCCTTTGCAACAAAAACTTGTTGATTATCGGATACATGAAATGCGCAGGATTCAAAAGAGCACTCAACGCATGCGCGACAAACACTGTGATAATAGTTGGGATGCGTTGTAGCTGTTTCCCCTCATTTTTTCGTTCCGTGATAGAATTCTTGAGTGAATCTAGAAGTAAGAGGATTTGTCTCTTTTCGCGAAACTCTGTGTGCTATAACGTAGATAACAAAACCAAAACATACTAAATATATATCTATATATAATCAGACACAGCACCATAATTTACCTCTAAAAGCACATAAAATTCATCCATAATGTAATACGTAGCACGTCTCATACTCTCGGACGACGACGAAGACGCAACTACCACAAACCCCAATGCATTGATTTCGATAAATTTTCGGCAGTCTATCAACGTGCCGTAGGATGCAATCAGATTAGCGAATAATGGCAAGAAAAAGGATGGGTCATATGAATGTTCTGTATTTTCTTTTGCTTTATCATATTTGTAGCTATTTGTGATAATGTCGTTAACTTTATCATCTATGAAAACTTCCAAATTTTTGTTCATTGGGAACCGCGTATAACTATGCAACATTACCGCCGGTTCAATCAATCCCAAAGACTCAATTACTATATTTGGGCCCATTAGATTCCGATTGCTGTTATTACCACCACTAGTGTTAGAAAAGACCGACCCAGCAGGCCCCCAACATAGCACATGCGAAGCAATCGACCCACGTGTGACTTTCTCAAAAGTGACTAGAATTTCGAGAAGTAATTGATCTGCTGGAGACGTCGATGCACCATATATTGAAATTATTTGATTTAAAAAGGATGGTGAGAAGAATTGATTATTGGACCGTGAAATTCGGAAAATTGCGTGTAAGAGACAACATATGGACAATCGTATGGTGTATGTGGGCGATTTTTGTGATGTGGTTAGTGATGACTTGGAGGATAGGTCTGGTGGTCTTGCTAATATTTGAAATTGGGGGTTGTTTAGTATTGACTCGAGAATTTTGGCGAGTGGTGGTCCGAGAACTTGCTTTTATTAGTTTAATAAATATATTATTAGTTTGGAATCGATTATTAATTAACATTTTTATAATTGATGATAAAATGGGTTTAACACATACTCCTTTGGAATAAGCACACATTATCAACGACTTAACGCACTGTATAATCATCGCATCCTCGAATTTCTTTTCTAACAGCACAAAGATAAATTCGCCGACTATATTGGCGTCTAGTATTGCTGCTTTTGGGACGAGAAGATTTATCAAACCGTCTAATTGATTGTTTAAAAGTTATGTTATTATGTGATAAAAATTTGAATACATAACAAAAGATCGCATCGAATTATTAATATACACACCAATGTGCGAGAATAAAGCTGTGACAGCTTCATATGGAACATTCTTCATTGCATTTTTTTCAAGTAGCAATGTGGCGTGATGCAAACATACAGAAATAAAAATCTTGTAGTGCTTTGCCTGATCCTCATATTCAGATTCCCTGTCATTATTTTCTTTTTTAAAATTAACTAAACAACACTTTACAACACATAAAAAATCCAATCCGAAATATCTATCAATCTCTTTAGGATTCTCAAACATGATTTTCTTCACCCCATCGTTCAATCTATTGTACGTCTGTGCAAAAGACGAAGACGAGCCTAACCAAAGCATATTACACAACACACGAGCAAATATAGACGGTGATTCTCTAGTCAACGACACATCAATTTTTTCGAATATTTTCTGGCTATATTTGTCAATTAAGACACTGACCGCTTGTTTGTCACGATTAGTCGTAAATTGTGCCCAAATTATTCTATTTTCATCGCTGTTGTTTTTAGTCTTTACTAATACAGAATCAAGAAAAGCTTCGATAACGATAACAAGATTTTCCAAAAATCCATTATCATTATCATTATCATGATTAAAATAACGCGTTTCATGGTCGTCATTATTTTGAAGTGATAGTATCCAATCAACAAATCTATGACGAACACTCGGATGTGCACGAACAAGGTTTCCGAATATTATTGCACGTGTTTGAGTGATTTCGTTTATTGTTGTTATTATGCACGTCACGATTTCGTCAGCGATTTTGCTAGGTAGAATATTAAAAAGTCTTTTTTCGGCGGACTCAAAAATATTATTTCGACTACTGCCACTAATATTATTATGGTCAGTGACATAATAGTCATTATGTGATTGCTCGTCAACAGTGACAGCAACTACCCCGAATCCGGGAACCATATACTCGTCCAGTTTCTGTAAAAAAGCAATCTCAAGCTCTTGTGAAAGCGGCTGATGACTTTTCCATATTTCTAGTAATTGCTCAAGATTCACATTTTCGAAACTATTCTTTAGAGAATTAATTTCATCCGCAGAAATATCTAGAGACTTCTTTTTTTTATGAAATTTCATAGAGTTTTCAAAATATGCAACAAGATCTCTAAGTTGTTCTTTTGCAGACGGAAATATGGTTTTTTTGGGCGCTGTCGTCTTCGAATTGTCATTGTCTTCATCATCGCCATTATCAGAAACAGTCGCATGTAACCGATTAGCGCACTCGAAAAAAATATTGGCCAGAATTATTTTTTGATGCCTTTTCTCGTGGAAATTCTTGAGTAAGTTCGAGATGAAAAAAGCTACCACGACTGAACGGGTTGTGTCTTTGTTTATGTACTGAAATTGTTCGATTACGGTCAGTAATAATGGGCTAATAATACTATACCCAATGTCGTTCAATCGAGAACTGTTTTCTTTATCGATCTCGTTATCAACAATATCCATATCCATATCTTCACGCTCACTTTTTTTCCGTAGAGCATCACTCATAAGTTTTCTAGCGTCATCGATATACCGATATGGTGACTGAAGACATCGAAGGATACATGATTCAAGGAAGGATAACAATTCTTTTCGATTGTTTTTACTATTATTAACATTATCATTGCTGCTGTTAATTTTGTCACAGTCCATGTCGTTTACAGCAGCCCCAAAAACCCCTTGTTTTAACGAATCGAGCCAAATACGTAAATCTCCAGACTCATAATTGAAAACAATCGAGTCTGCAAGATGTCGTTCGAGAACACGCTCTGCCAATTCTTGGATTTGGTGATACGGCGTCGAAGAAAGGTATAAGTCCAAGAGTGTATATATGTGAGTGGGCGATGATTCAGCTATTATCATATTAGATAAAATACATATTAAAGCTTTTCATTTGTATAATATTATGATAAATGAGCAAAAAAAAAACGCAAAAAAAAACTTACACGGTCGATTCCGCCACTTGAAATCATCCACAACCAACAAAATCTCCAACAAATGTTTCTGCAGTAACAGTTGCATATTCGTTTCAAAAAAGTCTGCCGGTATGAACCTTCCAACATCAAATTTCGCATCGGATATTGTCGATTCGGGAATGTACGTTTGATAGTATTTTATTATTCGTAAGACGCTTTCGTAGAGTAAGTCGTTTCTGACTTTGGATTCTTGAAGTGGTTCATCATCTTCGATTAATGGAGTGCTAGTAGTAATAGATGCTGACGAAGATGGTAACGACATAATTTGTTTAGCATCAGCGAGAATCGACGAATGAAGCGACAAAATGACTTTTAGATCCGGAACGCGTCTTTTCATCTCTTCGTGAATATCTTGTAATGATTTATTCCATTTGCTTAATATCACAGTGGACGCCCCCACCTCTGCGAATGACTTGGACACTCCCCGAAACCATCGAACAACTGTTCCGAATTTCAGAAACGCAGCTGCAAGAACAATCATAGTTTTGTATTTAATAAAAGGACTTTGATGCTGTATACATTTACTCAGAGTAAACCGATTTATCACATTGGGCAGAATATTTTCCATGATGATGTGCATAGGTGGTGGATGATCAGGCGGATGATTATAATAATGGTGTTTGGGTATCGATGTTGTTTGCTGTTCTGGAACAGAGAGAGAAATTATTTTTTGTGCGAGAGTCATGTTGAATAGCCATTTGTATGATAGGCGGGGCTCGAATGAAAAATGTATTGATTTCCAGAATCTTTTTTGATTGTGAATTTAACGAATTGATTAATTAATAAAAAAGAAAGTATTACATTAACTATTATTCATCAATAAACTTACGGATACACTAACTCCGGACAAACTTTTAATATTTTCAACAACAACTCTTGTTGTCTTAGATCATTAGTCGGATTCAGGTTTACAATAAATCGTAACAGTATTATATTGTACACTCGGAAATTCTTTTCATTGATGCCACGATCTGAACCTTGAACATTATTACGGTTCTTTGTATCACTACTAATAATACCACGTGGGTACCACCCTTCATCGTGGAAACAGACATTGATTCCAGGTGTACAGCATATGGAAATCAGAAATTGGTGGATACGGTCGGCTACTATTTTTTTGGAGGTAGTGTTGGTGGTTGAGTCAGTAGTTGTAGTGGTAAGTTCTAGTTCTTGGCGAGAGTAAAGTTGTGCGAGCTTCAAAAAACGATTTATATAATAATATCTATTACAATATTTTAGAGATTTATATAGTATTGAAAATGATAGTATGCAAATTAATAATACCTGATCTAATATCCAATTATTGAAAAACCCTACTTTAGCAGTACGATTTATCTCGTTATCAATGATCACATGATTGTACAGTGTGGTGAGGACCTCGTCTATAAACTTTTATTTTCATATTCATAAAGTTTTGAAAATCCAGTCGAGATTTAAAAGATTCATAAAAAAAATACTCAATACATACCTCATAAGAATCATGCATGAGTCCGGGAAACAACCCACTAACGAAATTTTTTATGCCGAGAATTTCTTGTTTTAGTTTACTGTCGCCGTATTTGAAAAATGATAGGATGAAATAAATGTATAGTGTACGAACGTCTATAGAAGTAAAAAAAAAAAAGGTATTCAGTACGATAAGTTTTGCTACCAACAAATAATTAAACATACCGGTCTTTGGTGATTTGACGTTTTCATCAGTTGATTGTTTTCGTCGCGTGTTAAATAATTTTCCAAGTGCCTACATCAAATAAATTAACCAGTCAATGAAACAACCTTAAACTAAAAAAGACTAATGTCAAGTATTTCGACCTATTATAATCGTCAAAACAGCGCTATATTTCTCTTCTCCGAACCAAAAAACCCAACAGACCTTCATCCCAAAATTAAAGTTCTGATAAACCTCACGAGTAGTCGACGCGCCACACGAATTCATAGCAATCAGCAACCGAAGTGTCGCCTGATACAACGGAAGATTCCCAGACGTGAGATTCTGGTGAATGGTTTTCATGTAGTTTCGCGTGATGATGTTGCGAGTTATTAGTGTGCCTGTTGCTTTGGTAATTGATGTGGTATTTGAGTTTGCAAAGTCGAGAATTTTTGCGAGTAGGTCTGGGATGGCGATTTGAAGGCGTGTTATATTGTGCTATACATTTGTATAGTGTAATTAATACATGATCGATTGAAAAAACCAAAAACATTCTCCCCAGTCTTATTCAAAACTCACTGTCTGCTGCATATCCCATATCCCAAAAATCTCTTCACAATCCGGTGACCGTTGCAGATACTCTTGTATTACAGACAACTTTTTATTATCATTATCATTGCCGTGAGCCGGGGTTTCTTTATTTTTGTGAACTTGCAATTGTTGTCTGAATCTAATAACGCCTAAAAACATTTTATATTTGATTCGTGAGTACCATTATCAGTAATACACCAACAATAATAATAGTAAGGTATAATAGTACTTTTTAATTGACAAAGACCCCTAACCTTGTACAAGAGTCTCAATATTTTTAGAGCTTAGATAAGACTGCAATTCTCCTACATTTTCAAAAGGGTGCAATTTATTGCTATTACTACTACTATTACCACTACTATTCTTATTAGGAATAGAATCGTGAAATTGGAAGGATTTGGGCGCGTTCGTCATTTTTGGTTGTATGTGAAAGAATTTCGTATTTTTTATTTTGGTATGACTCATTTCTCACAGGTATCCAATCAAAAGAAAGGTTTTTAGCTTCAAAACAGATATGATACACTAACTCTAATTTCAGTTTCCTAAAATAACAAAGCAAGTTTGATATTAAAAGTTTAAATATTAAATATTTATAAGTTTTAAAAAATTAAAAACAATAAAGTTCTGTATGGACTTGCAAAAAACTTGAGAAATATTTTATTTTATAAAATATTTTAAATTTATTTTTATATAATGGTTTGGATTTAGGCCTCTGTACTACATGTAGTACAATTTGAAATATATACAAAAATCTGTTATATGCTTTATTTACGTAAAATTGGTTTTACTTAATATTAATTAAGAAATTTTTTTTGAATATATTATATATAATACATGTGAAAAGTATTTTAATTATAAAATTACTAATAAATACCAAGAACAAAATAAGTTGCCAAGAAATTATATTTTTTTAAAAATTTTATAAAATTATAAAAAATATTTAACAATACAAAAGTATAATTAATATATTAAATTAGTAAATAATTAATATTATATTATAGTATATTGTATTATTAATAATATATATAAATTCAATCTATTAAAATATGAATAAATATATTTGTAATAACTATATTTTAATTAATTAATTTGGATCTAAATTAGAATTAAAATTAAGATTTTGAATATGTAATTAATTAATATTAAAGTTATTATATATAATAGTTATTATAATTAAATAATACAAAAAAATTTTCTAATTGCAAAAATTTTATTCTTAGAAAACTTTTTTAAATTATAATATTTATTTTAAAAATTTTATTAATAAAATAAAAGTTTAATTTAATAATACTATAATATATAAAAATAAAAAAAATATATAATTTAAATACTTCTCAAAAATAATAATAAAATTATAATTAAAGTTAAATCTCTTTATAATCACACTCATTTATAATCACACTTCTCTATAGTTACTTTATTTTGCTTTTTTATTTACATATAAATATAGTAAAAAATTTTTCTATAGTTACATTTTCTCTATAATTATCAAATTTTGCTTTTCTGAGAGTAATAATTATGGAGAAGTTTGACTGTATATTTTTAAATAACTATTATTAAAGTTATTCTTGCTTTATTTCATACTTTTTATATAATTTATATAAATTTATAATTTTATAATTAATTTTTTGTACTTCATATAACAGATAATTCTGCAATTATAATAATTAAAATATAAATATAAATGAATTTTATAATTTAAAAAATTATAAAATATTATTTATTAGTTAATATAATTTATCTAATATTATATATTTTTATAATTTTATCAAATTTAACAAAATTAACTATTATTTTGATAATAATAACAATAAACTTTAAATATTTGTCAAATAAATTAAAAGTATTAAGATTAATTTGCAAAAAATAAAGTAATTAAATATTTTAAAATAACAAAAGATTTTAAGATATTCATATAATTTATTTTTATAATTACTATAATATAATAATAAAATACTATTTTATTTGAGTTTCTTGAATTTTTAATATTTTTACTAATAAATATTTGTATAATAATTTATAAATATTTTAAAAAAATAATATTAATTATTGTAACCAAAAAAATCTTGAAAATTAATATATAAAAAAAATTATATTTAATTTTTTTATCTTTTTAAAAATATATTTAAATAATATTTTTGTAAGCTTTAATAATATTATATTAAAATTAAAATTAAAATTAAATATTAATATTTTAATATTTAAATTATAACTTTCAACTTGAAAAATTGAAAATTCCTATAATAAATATTTTTAATATAAATATTTTTATTCAAAATTTTTAGTAGTATAGAAAATTTATTATAAATAATTAATCACTTTTTTATTGTCATATATTTCAAGTAAGTGTTTTTACTAGTATTTAAAACTTGCTTTTAGTGTTTTAAAAAAATCTTTAACAAACTTATTATAACAGTTTTCAAGATAATTTTTCAGATTAAAAATTTTGTTTTGAACAATATAAAATATATAATAAAAATTTTTTTTTTATTATTAGAAATTTATTTTTTATTATAATAACTAAAACAAGATTAATATTTGTAAAAATAATTTATAAGTAGTTTTATATATTATTTTTTTAATTTGTTATAATATTTAATTATATATTTCTTTTGTTTTATTATTTGTTAATATTTAAGTTATTAATCAAAAAAATTAATAATTATTAACAATTAAAAAGAGTAAGTATTATTTTATAACAATTAATAATTTAAATAATATTATTAAATCTTAACTATTATTTAATTTAATTAGAAAATATAAAAATAATTAGCAAAAATATTTGCTATTAGAATTTTAATTTACTTAAATATATTATTAAAAATTAGCTTCTTTAATATTTTATATAGGTAATTAATATTATTTATTTAATTATATAATTTTAAATAAATTATTAAATAATTTAATATAATATTAATATATAAATTTTTTGTGAAAAATTTTTTTCTAAAGCTTTTTGAATTTGCTAGAAATTATATTTATTTTTTAACAAAAAATTTAATATTTTCAATTATTTTAATTATCAACTTTAAATCTTTCTAAAAGATATAATATATTAAATTAAAATAATTTTTGTACTTATTAATTAATTTTGTAACATATACAAGTTTAAGAGAATTATTATTTTTGAGCATATAAAATTTAATTGTTATATATATTTAATATTAATATAATATTTTTTTCTTTGAATTTTTATATTTTATTAATTGATATAATTTATAATATTTATAATTAATTATATATTTTTAAATATTATTATTATTTAGTTTTTTTATATAAAAACAATATGTCTCAAATTTTTATTGCTTTTTATACTTTTCTTTATTTATTATATAATTTCAATTATATATATGATAGAATTAATTTTATTTTTTTCATAGTAATTAATTAGACAAATTACTAATTATTAATTATTAATTAGTAATTAATTATTAATAAGATACTGTATTAATATTAAAATTATCAAATATATAAATATAAAAATATATAATTCAAATTATAAAATATTGTACTTATTTATTTTATTTGTTTTAACTTTTGTATGAAATAAATAATAATTACAAAATAAAAATAATAATATAAATAAAAATAATATTTATAATACATATATAAAATAATAATCATAATATAATAATAATATATTAATAAAAATATTATGAAATATAACAAAATAATAATTAATAAATTTTGATATTGTTACATTATATTTAATTATCACTATATAAATAAAAGTATTAATAATTTTTATTAATTTAAACAATTATAATTTGTAATTAAAATAAAAATCAAATAATAACTATAATTTTATAATTAAAATAAAAGATTATTAATTAAAGTTATATATTAGTTAATAAATAATTAAAAAAAGTAAAAGAAATAACTAATTTGATTTATTTTTAATATTAATATATATATATATTATATTTATAAATAAATTATTATTTATATATCAAATTACTAATTAAATTATAAAATAAAATAATCATTAAAATAATTATTAATTAATTAATTAAGTTATTAATTAATTATTCAATAAAATATATAAATATAAGAAATATTAATATTTAATTTGATAAAAATTAAAATAACTAAATATTTTAAATTATTTTTGTATTTAATCTGATAAAAATCTTAATATTAATTTTTATCTAATTTTTATTAAATTTAGATTAGATTAAATATTAATATTTAATTTGGAAAAATTTGAAAATAAGTTTAATAAAAACTGGTTAAAAATTAATATTAAGATTTTTATCAAGTTAAATTTTTCGGAAAAAGAATTCTGATTTTTTTTTACAAAATAATTGATTTTTTGAAAAAGTTAAAATTATTATTAATAAATAAAAATTATCTAATATTTGGTTCTCCTAAAAAGTATTACTAATTATTATTTTGATATTATATATAATATATTAATATATATTTTTATATTTGTATTTATATTTTAAAATACTCAATAAAATTTTAAATAAAAAAAATTTCAAGTTATTTTAGTTTAAAATTTTAATTTAGTATTAATAAGAATTCCTAGTATATTTTAGCAATTTTTTTCTTTGATATTATAAATTAAATCAACATTAACTTTAATATTTACAAATGAAAAATTAAAAAAATATTTAAATTTGTAAATTAAATAATTTTATTAATAAAGTTTTATAATATTTATTATTAATATAAAACAGATTTTTATTCAAATATATAAACTATTAATTATTTATTAATTAAATCAAAGTTTAATAATATATTGATTATAAGTGGAAACGAATATATGTGAATATGGAATCGGTCCAAATTAGAATAGACTAGAGTTAAAATAAAAATAAGAGTTAGTACTGGTGATAAAATTAATATTGGTTAAAAGATTCTAAATTCACACTAAGTGGATCCCGAATTCACCAATATTCCATTTCCAATATTATATAAGTCTTAATATATTTCTTGTAACTATATATTTTTGCTCTTAGCAAATCAAATTATTCATTATCACACTAAGATTTTAATTACTCGTTATTATAATGAAATATGGTGCAGGAATTCTTAAATCGACAATATGTTTCATTCTAAAAATTCTATCAACTTCTTAACCAAGAAGCAAATCCAAAATTTGACCGGTAATATCATCAAGCAAGTCCTTTTCTATAGTATTACCGGTTAAATTTTGGATTTGCTTCTTGGTTAAGAAGTTGATAGAATGAAACATATTGTCGATTTAAGAATTCTTGCACCATAGCAATATTAGATTTTATTATATATTTTATAAACATTTCTAATTTTGGTTAAAAATTTATTTAAATCTTGATATCTGAAATAGTTAATACAAAATTATCATCATCTTAGCATTTCGTTTAAATGCACATGAAATTAGGTAAAATGAACATCATATTTATCAATTTTTGATATTTGCACAAAAAAGAAAGGAAAATAAAATAGCATATCAAAGAGCGTGAACATAGTAATTATTACGAATAAAATACACATTCGAATTCAGTACAGATTCTGTAATTAAAAAAGTATCGTAGAATCATTTGCCGTAAAATACTGTACCACAACTTGACCCGTATGCAGACACCCGGAAGCTCTAATCTCATAAACTATACGTATACGATATCTAATATATTCTTCTACACATAAAATTATAACACACGTTTTAAACCATTTGATTCATTGTATATTGCCTATTATAAATATTGCCTGTTTTCTAATTTAGATCCGACGAACAAAAGAATGTTTGGCTATTATTAGCAATTTAATTTAGTACACCGAATAATGGTTTTACATCATCTGAAACCAAGCAAGCAATGAAAGATAGACAGACAGGGTTTTTCTTGTATTTATTTTTTTGTTTTCACGAATTTTCCATACCGATACGTTTCAGTTGAATTTTCGATCGACACAATGTACTAATTATTCGCGTCTTTAGCGTTCGAATTTTTAGAAAATAAAGATAAACAAAAGTGTTTCAACCTTAAAGAACTATCGAGAAACATACATTATTCAAGTACACATATCAACAGCTTTGCTAAAACCAACTATGTCTTTGATTGAATCACTGAAAAGTACAAAAACCCATACGGCCCTCCCTAGCTCGTCTGGTCCTTCACTCACATACACTCACATTCTTTCTTCTCTTTTTTGAAAGACGTTTTTAATAGAAAATATAGAACATTAATTTATTCATTAATTGCATGGAAAATGAAATTTAAATTAATCGCTTTGCTTCTTTCTGTAATATTATTAATCCATGACATCAACGGAAGCCCAACAATCTACAACGAAGACAACAATGACACAACAATAAGAATTCCGCTTCGCATCAATCCATTCTATAAGCGAAATACACCCATAGAACATTTACAAGCAATCAAGAAACGCAACAACAATAACTTTTATGAAAATAAAAGTCGCGAAAAAAGCAACAAACAGAACAAAAAGAAAAAATCGGCCCGACTTCCAATAAACGCGGTAGGCAACGACAACCAATGGACCGGTGACGTCCACATCGGCACGCCGCCTCAAAAATTCACGCTGGAGTTCGATACCGGATCTTCGGATCTATGGGTGGCTTCGGTATTTTGCGAGAAAGTTATGTGTAATGGTCATAATTTGTTCGATCCACACAAATCTTCTACATATCATGAATTGAAGACTGATTGGGATATGGGATATATGGACGGATCGAATGTGACTGGGTTCCTTGCAAAAGGTTTATTTCGCAAATTTGATTTTTATGAAATAATTTATATATTGATAAATGATTTGTTTTATTTCGGTAAAGATATCTTGAGGGTTGGTAGCATCGAAATTCACAATCAGACTTTTGCATTGGCCACAAATCAGACCACAGAATTCCAAAAAGATGTGGTGGATGGTGTTATTGGATTAGGGTTAGGTACGAATACACGAATTAAGGGTACCAAAACTCCACTCGATAATATGATAGATAAAGGATTGGTATGTTATTAGTATGTGTATTAAAAGAGATGTAATTGATAACTATTTTATTTGTTATTTTAGATCAAGGAATCATTATTTTCCGTGTATTTGGTCGAAGGGAAAAACGGCGGCGGTGGTGAATACTTATTTGGTGGATATGACAAATCCAAAATAAAAGGTAACAAAAAATTATCTGTAAGCTTTTTAACCATAATTATTCAATTTCTCTTTCAAATAGACGACATTACATTCGTATCATTATCATCAACGCAAGAATGGGCAATTCCCCTAACAAACATCTACGTGGGCAGCAACTCAATTGACATCACGGGAAATGTACTAATTGACACGGGAACCTCGGTAATTCTCTTGGGCTCCAAAGCGGCCAAACAGGTGTTTCAACAAATTCCCGGCTCGAAAATCGTCAAACTAAAAGGAAACACTATGGACGTGGAAGGATCGTGGGTTGTGCCTTGTAATACCACTGAAAACATCCTATCACAAAAACGACAAAAGCACCAATCAAATCCAAAACAAGAACAGCAAAATCCAAACTCACAGCAAAAACCAGAAGAAAAGCAACCGCAACAACAAGAACAAATTACTTTTATTATGGGAAACCGTGAGTTTGTGATACCAACTGGAGACATTATACTTGAAAAAGTTGAAGAAATTCCTCATTATTGCTATGCGGGTATTCAGGCTGGTGCTCCGGATGATGTTTGGATCTTGGGCAGTATTTTTATAAAGGTGAATTTTTTAACTGTTATATGTAAATCGAATAACGGGAGAAACTAGTTTCGCCCAATTTGATTTCCAAATTAGGGTTTCGGGCGAAATTGAAAGTTTACTGAGCGAAACGTTTCGGATTTTGAAAAATAGTTTCGCCCGAAGCACTAGATTAACGTATTTATTAATTTTATCAATTTACCAAATAGCATCACTATTTGATTTTCGATCAAGGTCAAAAGCGAATCGGAATTGCAAATCGTAAAAATCCGTAGCTACTTTTTTTCTATTCGAACACAACAATTCTCATAGGATCGAATAATTTCATTCGTTATTTCAAAATACATGTATAACCTAAAGTTTTATGGCATCAATTAAAATTCCGTATATAGAAACCAGCTAGCATTCAATTAGATTGTGTAAAACCGTTATTTTTGTTTGCTATTTCGTGATCGAATTTGCAATTGCTTATATTTAATCATCCATTCATATTTGCAGTTCAACTTGCACAATTTTTTTTGTTGACATGGTCACACATGTGATTAAACTTGAATTGTTGACAGATAATTTTCTTACACGACAACATGTTGTGATTAAAGATAGGAAATCGAATTAAATTGCGTGAGAAAATGTGTAACTTCAAAAATGAAAAAGTAGATAAATAATTCTATTCTTCTACACATATAATTCATTATTCTGCGTACATCATTCATTATTCCACGTACATACGATTACATAAAACACACTGCACTCTTTATACGATAAAAAACAACAAAATGTCAAATGCCAACAATACTATTAATCACGCAACCACCACAACCTCACCACACCCACGAGGAGCCGACATCTGGGTGGCAGCATTATTCGTCGGCACAGCGTTAACACTAACACTACACTCCACATTCAGAATGCTCCTCTTTCGCATGACGGCTATGAAATTGTCTCTCATAATCGTGTGTAATGTGTTTTTATTGTTAATTGAGGTGAATACGCTGCTGCAGGTTTATTCGATAGCTTTACGTGTGCATAATAATGCAAGCGTTGTTTTAATGCTAAAAATGGTGAATGATTTATTTTTGATATTTGTGGAGCCGAGTATTTTGTATTTAGCTTATCAGGTATGTATAACCTTTAATTATAATAATTATAAAAAAAACGCGAATTAATCCTTCATTTTTAAAAAAAATCTAGCGCTGTAAACAAGAATATCAAGCATACACCAAACACAAAAAAGCACACTACGCTCTTTTCGCATTCCGTGGTCTAACACTAATTTTATTATTTCTCAGCGATCTACTAAGCGTGAGAATCACTACCACCCAAATACCCTCATTCCTCGCAAAAACAGAACAAATGTTTGCGCCAATCCCAAAAATCTATTACATCGCATCCGAAATAATTTTCCTACGAATTCTCCTCGGGCGTAACAATGAATTCGCGAACAAAAAAGGATACCAACTTATAAAAATTCATTGTAGCACACAAGCGATCTTTTTCAGATTTGACATATTTTTCTTGTCAACTACGTTGATTTATCGCGTGGTTTATTTGTTAGTTTCGTCGACAGCTACTATTCCTACTTTTTATTATGCAGATATTTTAAGTATCGCGTTTACGTTGTTTATAATTACTGAATTTGGGTTGCTTATTCCACAACTGAAACAGAATATTAGAAAGAGTGCTTACATTAGTAATAATAGAAACAGTATAAATAGTCGTGATTCTAAAGTTTCTAAAGCTGCAGCTCAGTTACAAATCCAACCAAAATCATCATCATCATCAATGATGATAATGATAAACGAAAGTTCAGAGATAGAAGCATCATCATCACTTTCTCCCTCCCCGGAATATTTCAAAAGCCCTAATAAAGTAATAACACGAAATAGTAGATTCGAGGATGAATACGACGCCAATTATTCTTCGTTTCATAATTCAATATCAAAAACTACCACAATAACGACAACAGTAACACAAGTTGACCACTATCAACAAAATGATATGATTAATAACGAGTGGCAAGAAGACCCGTTATACTTGGATGGTAACGATAATAATAATGCAATAGAGATGTCGATAATGTATAAATATATATAAATATATTTTGTACGATAGATTCGTACGTATTCATCATCATGTTGATCGTGTTATTTGGATGTATGCCAATAAACTCATCAAAAGAACAAACATATGTCATTTCTTTAATGTTACCATACATATTAATGATAGAAATTTGTATATCTAAAAATTTGTATAATACACAATGAAACTCGATAAGATAAAGTCATTTTAAGATAAAGTGGATCTAAGATAAATTTTTTTGTTCCAAAAATATAATTAAATTTATTTTTATAAAAAAATAAGCACAATAAGCAAAAAAATAACCAGTCTGGAGACTTATCTTGTAGAGTTTCATTGTGTATATAATATTTTTGATCAACCAAATTTTTTTGGAACAATGCCATTTTAGATATTAATTTCTTAATTAAATCCCATAAAATTTCAATGGAATAATGGAAACTAATAATGCTGAATGTAAAACATTATTACTTGAATAATTTTAATATCATAATCCTGGTCAAACTTACAAAATAAAAACTTATTATTGATCAAACTAATTATCATAATTATATCTTTATAATTATATTCTTTATAATTATATTTAAATTAAATTAAAATTATTAATAAAATTATTAAAAAATTAAAATATGATTTTATAGAGTATGGAATATAAACTGAAAACATTTTCTTTTTTGAATATAAGTAACAAGTATAATTATAATTGATCAAAATCAAAAAATTTGTTATTAATAATATCAAGTATTACAAATTCTTCTTATAATTAAATAGATTATAATATATTAATAGTAGAAAATATTAAATATTGTTAAGTATAATTACTATTTTTGCATGATTTCTAAAGAGAAATAAGATTTTATCAAGTAATATTTCTGAGTATTATTTTTATTTTTGTTTATTATAGTTTTATAATTTTGATATTTATATATCTTTGAATTTTCAATTTTTTGAATATTTTATATAATTTTAATTTAAATAAATAATATATTATTTAATTAAATTTTTTTATAATTATTATTCTTGAAAAAACAAAATTGAATAAGTATAAAAGAGATTTTTTTATTATATTTATATAAATAAAATAGCAAATTTAAATAATTATAAAAAAATATAACTATAAATAAATATAACTATAGAAAAATTTAATTATAATCTTGATAAATTAAATAATATAATCAAATATTTTTATAATTATATCCATTTATATATAAATATAGTAAAAAAATTTCTTATAGTCATATTTTCTTTATAGTCATCAAATTTTATTTTTTTAAAAATAATAATTATAAAAGAATTTAATTATATTGTCACCATGTGATAAATTTAATACCTGATATAAAATATATCATGTTATTTATAATATATTTTTATTGGATAGTTAATAAATATATGATCTACAAATTGTAATCCTTTTTTTAGTTCATACTAATCCTTTAGATTTCATACTATTTCATTTTAATTTCATTATATTTCATACTATTTTTTATCTTATATCTTTTATATTTCATACTATTATATTTTATATTATTTATATTTCATATTATTTATTTTTAATTCATACTATTTGTTTTTAGTTTATATTATTTTCATATTATTATTATTAGTATAAAAAATACATGTTATTGATCTTTGAGAATCAAATTAGCTTAATAGTAATTCATAGTAAATTAATTACACTCAAGCAAAAAATGTGAAACACTACAAAATAGTTTATAGAATGAATTATGTCTCATTTTAAATAGAATATATTAGTTTTAGATTAAGAAGATTAAGTAATGAATAATTATTATAAATAGCATGTATCTTAGCTAAAAAAGAAAAGTTTAAGATAGATAACTTTTGATTAACTTAGTGTTAATAAAGTTTTTTGCTTTTATCCTTTAAAATTATAATAACTGACTTACTGTGTGTTCATTAGAAGAATTGATTACTTTGTGTTTTCTTTTCTTGATCAATAATAAAGATTCTTGATAAATCTAAATTACTTCTTGGTGAAGTATTCATTGAAATATTAAAGAACTTTGTGTTCTATTCTTCTTAAAAATCCTTTTACAAATACTTTGAATTCTTGATGAATTCATTTAATTCTTGATGAACTTCTTTTATCTTATAAAATATACTTTATTCTTAAAAGTTCTTTGTGAACTTGTTAGATTCTTTGTGAATTTTTTAGCACTTTAGCTAATAAATAATAGCATTAGAAAATTATTTTACACTTTGCTTATTTCTCCACGCTTTTTCACATAATGCAGTCATTACTTACTATTATAATAAAGATCTTTATTCATAAAAACTACTAATAGTAATAATATAATAACTAATAATTAATAAAATGATTGGTGATTTATAATATTACTAGATGTAAATAAAAGATAACTAAAAATAAATAAATAAATGGATAAATAAATATTTATAAATAAAAATTGATTAAATATCACTTGGAATCTAATAATATCTCATATCAGGTGATCAAGAAAAAGAGTGAATGGTAATAGTACAGTTATTATTGTTTGAATATTGTCTTATTTTAGTATTTTTCTTAGAATAACATTCTTTTTCAATATGATCTCTTTTTTCACAATAGTTGCAAGTTATAGTTCAGTTATTGTTGTTATTATTATTACTATTACTATTATTATAATTATTATTCTATTGTATTGATCAATTATTATTGTTATAAACCAATTGTTCACTGTTTTGGTGAGTTCAGCCAAAGTTTTTGTTAAATCATTTTGTGAAGTTATTGTTGGAATTATAATATTTGGAATTGCAATATTTTGAACTGATAAAAGTATTGGAAATGTGGTTTGATATGGATTAATTATATTATAAGTTTTGTTGTATTCAATTTCAGTTTGAATAACTAATTCAATTGTGTTATTTAAAGTTGCTGAATTTTCACAGTTAACGAAGAAAGCAATTGATGAATTGAGACTTTTTGTAAATTCATGAATTTTGTAATCAGCTGAATAGTTATCATTTGGATCAATTTTATTTAATAAGATTTTTATATTATCTGCATATTGAATAATTATTTTATTTGAATCCTGAACCTTAATGACTAGTTGTTGTCTTCAAGTCATAATTTGTGCATTAGTTCTAAATTAAATCATGAACTGATTTTTAAAAGAAATATTGTTATTTTGAGTTCAGGTTTGAGACCAATCATTATGTACTTGTTTTTGTTGTTCATATCAATTACCAGCAATATCTTTAAGATATGTAGATACTACCGTAATTTTTTTTGTATTAATCATATTATTTGTTTCAACATAGTGATTGAATTCTTTAAATCAGGTAATTGAATCATTAGTTCTATTACCTTGAAAGATTAGTAATGGTAGATTATTGTGTTCAGTTTGTCAATTTTGTTATGCAGTCATTGCATTAACTAATAAAATAATAGCTTCAATCATATATCTAATTGCTTTGTCTGCCATTTGATTGTTTTGTTGTAGTGAAGATATAGATTATTGTTGTATTTGTTGTTGATTTTGCTGAGTTTGCTGTTGAGCTGGCTGTTGTAGTTGTTGAATTTGTCAAGTTTGTTATCTTCTTTGTGTTCTTTCAGCTCTTCTTGTTGTGACTATTTATTGTTGTAAGTAGCGAGTTCAGTGTTGATTAAAGTTGATAATATTTCCACAAAAATTTCAAATATAATTAATTATTTCAAGTGAGATTTTGTTGTTATTATCAGAGATTAACTATGTTAATTGTGTTGTTGCTGTATTATTTTCTTGTCCAAGTAGTTGCTGAGTGAAGAGAGTTTTTATTAAATTAAATAAATGAGTTTTATCATTATTTAATAATTCTTTAGTTATTAACGCTGTCACGAGTCCTGGGCTCAGGTAGGTATTCTCGTGACGTAGGTGTTCAACCAATGTCTATTTTGATACTTCAGTGATTCGATCCAGTTGCTTTAGAATCGCAGTGCAATGTGGCTTCTTCTATTCTATTAATCTAAAATAGGAAACACTACTACTAATAAATATCTTCTTTGTATTTACTTAGTGTGGTGATGGTTCTATAGCAATACAGTACTGATATTCTATAGCAATTTGGTTGAGTGTCCAGTAGTATATAAAGTAAGTGTTATAACAAAATTAATAATTATAAAATCAATTAATGTACAATTTCATTAAACAATAAACAAGAAGCGGTTTATTGACTAGCTAGATTTTGTATTGATCAATTAATGTCTTTTGGTTTATCCAAAAGGTCCTTTATTTATATAAAATATTTTATGGCTAAGTTATTACAGTGTGGGATATATTATACATGTCGGATAAATATGATATAGTGAATAATGTTGATATGTCTGAGAACTCTGCTATCTCTACAATCTATGTTGAGTCACATGATCAGAATTAAGAAATTAAGGAATTAAGGATAATTCTGGATCATAACAACGCGGTTATAAGTAAATAAAATTATCTTTGCATTTCTATTGTTGTCAGTCTTGTTGGATCCAGTTTTTTTTGTAATTTTTGCTCTACAGAGAGAGCACCAAAAATCTGTCACCAGTTTGTGATCTTTGCTGATGAAGATATTCATGAGATAGGTGATAGTAATTGTGTTCACACAAAAGTATATAATATAAGTTTTTCTAAAATATGAGTTTCAATGTCAAGTGACAAAGATTGTATTTATAATTTTTACAAGTGAAGCTTTATAACTAATATAAATAATAATTCAACATGTAATGAATTATTATAACAAGGAAGACAAGAAATTCAATAAGAATAAGATAATTAAAATAATCAGCAATCTGATCTATTTTTTATTATTATTAAAACACAAGATAAATTATAAGATGTTTAATTTTCTATGTTAAATTACATTCATTTAAATATATATTAAAGTAATATAGATTTATAAAATTTGTAACAATATAAAGAACCAATAAAATAATAAAGTTATAACATGTTTAATACCAAGAAATGATAAATATAATACAAATTAATCTAAGTATTATAATTGAAATTAATAAAACATTGACATTATATTAAATAAATTAGATGAATTAATAATTAAAATTAAATAGATTAATAATTAGAAATCAAAAACTAATAAAATATAATAATTAATAATTAATAAAAATTGCATAAAATGATTGGTAATTTATAATATTACTAGATGTAAATAAAAGATAATTAAAAATAACTAAATAAATATTTATAAATAAAAATTAATTAAATATCACTTGGAATCTGATAATATTTCATATCAGGTGATCAAAAAAAAGAGTGAATAGTGACAATATCTAATATTTTTTACTAATAAATATTATATTTTTAATAATTTATATGAAAACTATAAAATAATAAAATATAAAATATGTCTAATTGATTTATATATAAAAATAATAAAGAATACAGAGTTTATGATGTTTTTAGAGTTTTTTAGAAATTATAAAAATTATGAAATTATAATAAATAATAAATCACATATAAGATTACATGTACAAGTTACATGTAGAATCACATATCAAAATCACATGTTAAATATAAAAGTTACATGATTTCAAATTCATCCAATAAGAATATAATAAATTAAATAATTTAATAATAAATAATTAAATTAAATAAATTTAATTATAAAAATATTAAATATAATAAAAATAATTAAATATTAATAAAATAATTATATTATAGAATATTTGAATTGTAATAGCACTTTTTGTAATCATAATATTAAAAATAGCTTTAAACTTTGAAGATTGAGTAATAATAACTTATATAAATATAACATGTATCTTAGCTTAGAAAAATAATTTTCTATTACTTTAATTTTCTTATATCTTTTTATCTTTTATTACTTTAATTTTCTTTTGACAAAATCTTTTTAAAAATGAATTATATTATAAGTCTTGAGTTAGAGTTTTTAGTTAAGTATTAATTATACTTTTTCTTTTTTATTTGTATTCTTTATTTTTAAAAAATCTTTTGTCTATAACAAGTGATATCTTCTATTTAACATAATTAATTTCTTATTATTATATTATGAAGTTAATTAATATTATCTAGAAATCTAATAAAAAAAGAAGATATTCTTATTAAAAGTTAATCAATAAAAGAAGATTATTTAATAATAAATTATTGAATTAAAAAAAGATTTCTGAATTCATTTTAGCTATTCAACAAAATGAACACTTCATTATTTATCTTTAATAAATTAGTCTTTTCCAACTTTAAATATTTAAAATATATAAAAATCTTTAATCAAATATAATAACTCTCTTATCTGATCAAAACATGTGATCTATATCTAAAAGATTATAAAATTAATAGAATTAATAACAATATTAGATTTGTACTTGATACACTTTTTCATTTTTCTTGAACTCATACAAAGTCTGATTATTTTTCATTTATTCTTTAACAAGCTCTTTAAAGATCTAATATGAACTTTGAACTTTTATATATTTATCTAAAAGTCTGATTCTGATTTATTGCATTCAAATAAAAGTCCAATTCAAGTTTGGTTTAAATATCAAATCTTACTCAAATGAAAATGAAAATCTAATTCAAGTTTGATTTAAATATTGAATCTTACTCAAACTCAAATAAAAATCTGGTTCAAATATCAAACCTTACTCAAACTCAAATGAAAATCTGGTTTAAGTTCAGTTCAAACATTGAACTCTACTTAAAGTTCAGTTCAAGTTCAGTTTGAATTTTAAATCAAACTTGAACTCTTACAAAAGTTCAATTCAGTTTAGTTCAAAAAAATATTACTGGATTATATAAGTGATCCAAGTGATTTGAGTAATAATAGTAAATCAAGTAATTTAAGTGATGATAGTAATAAAAATGCTAAAGATTACTTATATAATATAATCAAATCTCTTTATAATCATCACCTTTAGAAAAGCAAACTTTGATAATTATAGAGAGAATGTGACTATAGAGAGATTTTTTTATTATATTTATATGTAAATAGAAAAGTAAAACAGAATGATTATAAAAAAATGTGACTATAAATAGGTGTGATTATAGAGGAATTTGATTATAACTAAATTAGATTCAATAATTTATTATAAAAGTAATATATCTTAACTAGTAATTTAGATAAATTTCATAGTTCTCAGAATTTCAAGAATAATAAATAATAGTTAAAAATATATAATAAATTCCTAATAATAAAATATAATTTTATTATTATTAAATTATGATCTTATAAAAAATTATATATTTATTACATAAAATCCTTTAATTAAACATTATTATTAAAAATTCCAGATTTCATTCTAGCTGATTACATTATAAACACATTGTTATTTTTCTTTGGATTCATTATAATTATAGTTTAATGCTTAATGCATTATATAGATTTGGTTATATTATACTCTTCCACCTATAATTCTTAATAAAATTTACTATAATTATCTTGATCAAGTAATTTATTATAACATTATTAAGCACTCCCCAGCTCTCTCAAGAACTCATAAAAACTCATAAAATATAGTAACAATATCTTTAGTTATTGGAAACATGTGAATAACATATAAATAACTTAAACTTAACAAAAATAATAACAATATTTAGGATGTGATCATACAACACCTGATATAGAAATTTTACCAATTTATAAAAGATATCAATAATCAGCATTTGTAATATTCTTTGTGCTTGGAAAATTACACATGATTTATGAAAAGTTAAGGGGAGTACGTTACTTCTGACGAGCACTGTATATCGAATAGTAAAATCAGGTGATTTGTTCATGATCTACATAAAGTTAATGACGTATTACAATTCACTCTTAACGATGTAAGGCAACTTTGAACGCTGATATCTTGCCAGCCTGTGATCAGATTTCCGTAAAAATGGTTATATATAGCATTTTTGCGCGCGCGTTACAATTACAAATAAAAAAATTCGCAGTTGTATATTTTTTATTTTTCTAATTCAACACCCCACACCACGCATACACATTGAATAAAAAAGTTTAAAGCCTGATACTCAGATAACAACCAAATGCAAATAACATAAAAATAATTTTTATATCAATGGCGAGCCTGGTGATCCAGGACAAGGGGATTCTGGATATGGATCGTTAGCTTCCTTTATGACTTACTTTTTATCTTTTTTTGGTGTATCTTCCAATGGAGTTGTGCAGACATTATTGTTTCCAGCCGTGTGAGGAATTTTATTGATTTCCTTGACCGTGAATAAGACATCCGCCTATATTAATTAAAATTAGCTACTATAAAAAGGAAGTCCGAATAATTTATAAGTCCATACCTGCCAATTCATTAGTTCCACCATATCCTTGGCAAACTTTTCGAAGTCGCCAAAGGTCTCGGGTACTTTGGTGCATATAAAACGGTCAAGAAGATACACTGATGGTAAGGGACGGATCAAATGTTCAATCTTAAGATAGCTGTCTATAAGAAAATATTTTTTAGAAGTATGTAAATAATTCGCACATTTCTTATTACTCAATCTTTGATCGAATACTTACTAACAAATTGTATCAAGTAAATTCGCGCCTTTTCCCTGGGAATGGTTTGTAGTACGGCATTTAAAATTCTCATCGCATTTCGACATAATTTAACATGGTCATTACGTTCTTTAGTGGATGACGCTTTTCTGCCACTTGAAAATTCAACGACAATTATAACTTGATTCTTTGGTTTTGTTCTTATCACTTTAAATAATCCATCAAATTTGTGATGTTTTGTGTGAGGAGTAGTCAATTCAATCCTAAGTAGAAAAAACATAATTAACTGTTAAGCTATCCTAACACTCTAAAAAGTTATAATTAATACTTGCCACCCACTGTCTAAAACATCTTGATGCAACTTAAATAAACGATTTAAAATATATATTACAGTGTCTATTGCGAATGTTCGTTCTAGATTGAAACTTTTGGATTCGTAGCTAATATGAGCTTCTAATCGTGTGGCACTATTTACAGAAAAGTTAATAACAATGAAAAATCGGCTAAAACGAATATTGACATGCATACGAAATTACCAGTGTTCAAGTACTTGGTGAGCGATGTCGTAGTCTTCATAACAATAGGAATCAAATCTTCCCGAAACGAAAGATTTGCGAACCAGAGTCGGATTTGGACTCTATTACATACATTTTCATTAAACTGATTCAAATATTTTTCGAACTCGTCAGTTTGACTCGAAGTTTGTTTTATAAGAATCTTGTTAAACCATGCAAGCTGATCTTCATTCAAGGATTTTTCGATTTTTCTGCGTATCTCTACATCGGACAAATCTATTATACTATTAAGATATACCGACGACATGTGATCTTTTCCTGACTTTTTTGGCGTGCAACCAAAACTTTATATATCTTATTACGGATGTCCATCTCGTCCTAAGAAATTAAGTATGAGTGAAGGTAGTAATTATACATAAAAAATAGCAAATACCAAAATACCTTTGTAAGATTCTTGATTTCTTTTTCTTCATCTACTTCAATCACTTCTGAATCACTCTCTCCCGATTCACAACCTGCTTGTTTTTGTTCTGACAGAAAGATTTGGTGTTCAGGAGTTCGTGGCTGAGCCTGCGTAATAGGAGGAGGGGTGACGACACGTGAAGGATATTTACCGTTTTCGATCTCCTCTTCTGACTTATCCTCTCGAGCCTATTTAAGGTTCAAGAGATAGCAATTATTTCTAAAATTTAAAAAATAATGATCATCTGGTTTAATTACCTTTTTTGTAGATCTTACAGTGCTCGATTCTTCTTGATGCGTCCTCTTTGTAGTACTCATTTCTCGATTTTCCAAGACTGTTTCATCAGCCAAGTCCTTCATCATCACCTGTGTCTTTTGTTCGGCATTTATACTATAAAATAAAATAAAATATGAGCAAAGATAGTCGTCAATCAAACATGAGAACACATACCGTTTGCAAAGCATCCTTTTTTTCCAGCTGTTGTTTTTCAATATCAATCCAGAAACTCTTAATATCTGGATTTTTGTAATGGTTCTAGAGAAAATATGTTTAAATGGTTAGCAGATGTATAAAGAATAGACTCTAGCACAGCAGGTCACAGCAGACCACAACAGTTCTGTAAACATAGCCCGGAGGGGAACACCCTGGTTGAGTGAGTCATAAATGACCGTTTGAAGATCCATACACCACAACGATCCGTAAATCATCAGAGGGGGAACCGTAATTTCCCTCATATAGTCGTGGAAGTTGGATATCTTATCCAACTAGATGGAACCCCCCTCCCTGGTTGAGTGAGTCATAAATGACTGCTTGAAGATCCATACACCACAACGATCCGTAAATCATCAGAGGGGGAACCGTAATTTCCCTCATATAGTCGTGGAAGTTGGATATCTTATCCAACTAGATGGAAACCCCATACTGCGTGTGACTGCATGTGCTATATATAATAGGAAAAAGAATATATAGTACTTAACGTCAAAATTGCTGAGCAAGATTTTTGCTTGTTCTCGAACTTCCCGCGAGTCTTGCTGAAGCAGACGCTCAAGTGATTTCATGAGACTGAAAGATTCTTTTAAAAACGAATAACTAAAATCACTTTGGGAACAGCGATACTTGTAAAAGCCTAAATAGCTCCCCTGCAAAGGCGTGACAGTCACAGTAAAATAAGTTTTGTTTCGTGAGAAAAACTTTTGGCGGTCACTAATGAAAGAAAATAAAATAAATGTCAATTTTGAAGATGTATTATTTATAAGGAGATGTTATTTTTCATATTTTATATATCATTTTGTTTGTGAAGACACAGACAACAACTTTATTTAAAGGCTCTTTGAATGCTTTGGTTAAGACTTTAAATGAAAAATTCAAAAATGTAATTATATTGATTTATATTTAATTGGATAATTAGTACTTTATTATTGATTCTTTATTTTCTATTGCTACAGTGTAGTCTTATCCATTGTGTACAGCTATCTAAATTACAAAGAATCAGAAGATATGTGA